CGAACGGTTCGCGACATCACTATTGATTAGTTTCACTGACCTTTATATTTTTTTTTTTTTTATAAATTCTTTATTTTGGTAGTGCATACATAAACAATACGCTTGAATAGCCACGACAGCTATAGCAAGCTGCAATCAATAGAATAGTATAACAATAGCATGGCATGTGAGTATCGGCACAATTTTTTAAAAAGGTTATATAAAAGATTCAACATAATGCAGCCACTGAAAATAGGATAGTAAAAGAGCAATTTCAATCCTGGTCGTATGGTTAGTGTCGGCGTATATGCTTATGGACTGGAGTATGCCTACAGTGGAAGGCAAGGTGCATGCTTATGTGCCTCTTGAGTCAAAAGTGAAATGGGACCCTGTGTTCTGAGGGAGTATGTTAATACGCCCGTGTTGTGGATCAGTTAGAAATTCCAGCTATAGGCCGTGTGTAAGGTCGTAAGGCCTTGTGGACAGAGAGGGCTGTGCACGGCCTAGATTGTCGTGTGAGTGAGAGGATAAAAGAGGATACTGACGTGCAACCTGGTAGTGTATTTGTGCAGCTCCTAATTAGTGATCTCGTGGTAGAGTAAATGCGTTGGAGCTGGGGGGGTTTTGGTATTAAAGGGAGCCAGTTAGTCCGGGTTCTGCCCGGTTCGGCGGCAAATAAAAGCCGTATAGCAATCCTGCTATGTGTGTGTAGGGGTTTCTGGGTTACCCCTCAATAGGGCCTATGCCCTGGGAGTAAACTTGTACGTTTACAGCGGTGTGTATAAGAGGGAGAACATTAAAACAAAACAAAAAGCAAAACAAGAGTAACTCAAAAGTCCCGGTTCAGTTAGTCTGCTCTCCAAGCGTTCCCCTGGATGCTGGAACAAATGGGACAACTTTAGTCGGATCCCAGGTTGTAGCGGTTGAAGATGGCCGTAGTCCCATGTCGGTCAAGACAGTGTCCATTTCTGCGACGTCCGTCGCTTTATATTCCTTGCCTTGGTGTTGGATGAGGAGTATGTGTGATGGTCCCCAGCGATACTTCACTCCCTTAGCCGTCAATGCCGCTGTAAGTGGTCGGAGAGATTTCCGCCATTGCAGTGTTGTGCGTGAGAGGTCGGAATAGAACGTTAAGTCCATGTCCTCAAAGCGGTATGGATTTTGTCCCCTGATGGAGCCCATTAAGGCAGTTTTGTCTTGCCCATTTTGAAATTTGACCAGAAGGTCACTTGTCGCTGAATTTGCAAGTTGTGTCGGCTTGGGTAAGCGGAACATGCCATCTAGCTGCACCCCTTTAGCTTGTTTGGGGGACAGGAGGGCTGTGAAAAGCCTTCTGAGTAGGTGGGGAAGTTCGGCTGGGGCAATTGCGTCTGAGAGGCCTCTGATTTTAACATGCTTCCACCTCCTTTTGTCTTCCATTGCTGCTAGTTGGTGGGTGAGTGTGATGTGGGCTGAGGAGAGGTCTTTGACCTGATTCTGCAGCTCTGTTATTTGTGCTGTTTGTGCCTGGGTGGATTGCTCCACTGCTGAGAGGCGATCAGTGAACCCCTTTACATCCTCCCTTACCTGGGAGATCTCTGCAGAGAGCGACTGGCGTAGGTCAGTCAGGAGAGAGGTAAGAATCTCCGTAGTGATTGGGGAGCTCATCGGCTGTTGTTTGAGTTTAGGAGGTCCCTTGTACCCCAGTGTCTCAGGGCAGTGGAGGGATGTGTCGTCCGAGCTTCCCGAGAAATCCTCATATTCGGCCGCCATGTTGGGCGCCGCCGCGCCATGCGGCCTCCTCAGTAAATCGCCGATATCGGTCGTAAATCGCGGGCGATCGGGTCGCGGCTTTTTGGTCTTTCTCCCCATATCAGGGGGAGTAGTTGCAGGCCGTCTGTTACCAGAAGGGAAGGCTTTTGGGGTCTTTTTCGTCCGGTTTTGGGCTGCGGTCGGCAGAGAGCAGGAGAAGTGCGACCGTTCATGCCGAGAGCTGGCTCCGCCCCCTCACTGACCTTTATATTAAATAGATGGTAAATAGATGATTTAAAGGACCACTAAAGCATTAAGAATAGAGTTGAGCGAACCTGAATTGTAAAGTTCGGTTTCGTACCGAACATTAAGTTTTTTGGACCCCGGACCTGAACACGGACATATCACTGTATGTTCGGGTTGGAGTTCGGTGTTCGGCGATTTAATGGCAGGGCAGCCAATCAACAAGTGTTTGACTTGTGTGCCCTTAGAAGCCATCACAGCCATGCCTACTAATGGCATGGCTATGATTGGCCAGTGCAGCATGTGACCCAGCATCTATATATAAGCTGGAGTTGCATAGCGCCGCACGCACATGAGCTCTTATTAGTGTAGGGAGAGGATGCTGCCGCTGTGAGGGACAGCTTAGGAAAGAATTCTGCAAATTAGTACATTTGTGGGGAGCACTTCATATCTGAGAGTCAAATAGAAGCTTCAAATACCGCGGTTACATCGGAGTTTTAAAAAGTAAATTTTTTTGGGTGCTAAATAGTACATTAGTGGGATAATACATTAGTGGGGTGCACTTCATATCTGAGCGTCAAATAGAAGCATCAAATACTGCTGTCACATTGCAGTTTTAAAACTTGAAATTTTTTGGGTGCTAAACTGCTAAATAGTATTTTAGTGAGGTGCACTTCATATCTGAGAGTCAAATAGAAGCGTCTAATAGTGCGCTTACAGCGCAGTGGTAAACATTCTAATTGTTTTGCTGCTAATCTGCTAAATAGTACATTTTGGAGCGTGCACTTCATATTTGAGAGTCAAAAGGGTCTAATAGTGCGCTTACAGCGCAGTGGTAAACATTCTAATTGTTTTGCTGCTAATCTGCTAAATAGTACATTTTGGGGTCTGCTCTTCATATCTGAGAGTCAAATAGAAGCGTCTAATACTGCGGTTACAGCGCTATTGTAAACATTCTAATTGTTTTGCTGCTAAACTGCTGCTTACATTGGAGTTTTAAAAAGTCAATTTTTTTTTGGTGCTAAATAGTATATTTGGGGTGTTCACTTCATATCTGAGAGTCAAATCGAAGCGCCTAATAGTGTGCTTACAGCGCAGTTGTAAAAATTCTAATTGTTTTGCTGCTAATCTGCTAAATAGTACATTTGTGGCCTGCGGTGCACTTCATATCTGAGAGTCAAATAGAAGCGTCAAATAGTGCGCTTACTGCGCAGTTGTAAACATTCTAATTGTTTTGCTGTTAAACTGCTAAATAGTACATTTTGGGTGTGCTCTTAATATCTGAGAGTCTAACAGAAGCGTCAAATACTGCTGTCACATTGCAGTTTTAAAACTTAAAATTTTTGGGGTGCTTAACTGCTAAATAGTATTTTAGTGGGGTGCACTTCATATCTGAGAGTCAAATAGAAGCGTCAAATAGTGCGCTCACTGCGCAGTTGTAAACATTCTAATTGTTTTGCTGCTAATCTGTGGCTTAGATTGGAGTTTTAAAAAGTCAATTGTTTTTTTTTTGGTGCTAAATAGTATATTTGGGGTGTTCACTTCACATCTGAAAGTCAAATCGAAGTGTCTAATAGTGTGCTTACAGCGCAGTTGTAAAAATTCAAATAGTTTTGCTGCTAATCTGCTAAATAGTAAATTTGCGGCCTGCAATGCACTTCATATGTGAGAGTCAAATAGAAGTGTCAAATAGTGCGCTTACTGCGCAGTTGTAAACATTCGAATTGTTTTGCTGCTAATCTGCTGCGTACATTGGAGTTTTAAAAAGTCAATGTAAAAAAAAAAATAGGGGTGCTAAATAGTATATTTAGGATGTTCACTTCATGTCTGAGAGTCAAATCGAAGCGTAACTTTGATTCAAATTTACTATATCGGTCACTTGTAATATTGTTTCACACCTACAACACTTGTTACACAGATCTAAGTGATAGAAAACAGATTGATATTTTCTATACTAGAAACTACCAGATAACAAGCTGCTATATGTAAACCAGTTATCAATAGCTAAGAGGTATTTAAACAATATTGTAATTCTGGGGCAATTCCTCACAAGTCAAACTGAGAGGTCAGTTTATAGGGAAAACTTGCCTGGATACAATTCTAAAACAATTTCCATATGTCCTTTGCAGACTTTACATGCTGGAAAAACACAGGTGCCAACTGCTGTGACTTTCTGCAGTGTGCATACCGGCAAGGAGGGCAGGGTTGAGGTGGAAGATGATGTGGAGGATGATGAGGTCCTAGACCCCACATAGAATCAAGGTCATACGAGTGACGTGTGCAGTTTGGAGGAAAAGGCGCTGGTCGCACAGAGGCACCAGCACAGCATAAGAGGGAGCAAGGTGCAAAAGCGGAGCGGCCGTCCCCTAGCGCTCGTCGGCATGTGTTGGCTCAAGAATTACCAGTTATCCAAGTAATACATGTAGCGATCAAAGGATCCATAATAGAGTTGAGCGAACCCTAACTGCAAAGTTTGGGTTTGTACCAGATTTAACAATCCATTCGTAGTTTCACAGTCAGGTGGGCAGTCCGATGACCAGGACCCAGACACTGTCTGGGCGGCGGTCGGACAACCGGGACCCAGTATGCCTGACGTTGAAGTTAGGAGTCACAGTGTGGAAAGGATTAGCAGGGTCTGGTGCAGGGTAACCGCACGCTCCCTGGTGTTGAGCACCAGCATTTGTGCAGCCACATACCAGGACCCTGATGCAGCTTCAGTAAAAAGAGTACTGGATACCAGAAGCCATTACCAGACTGATCCACAACTTGGAACAGGATGTGAAATTCACTGTAGCGGCTGTGCGCGCTTTTGGCGTTCTCACCTTGCTGCTGCTTGCCTGTCTGCGCTGCAGCATAACTTCAGCCTTCCCGCTCACCGCCTCATGTGACTGTGCGAGCAGCAGCAGGCGATAGTGGAGTTTCAGCTGCAGCACGCACGGGTCAGTGGCTCTGCACCAGACTTCCCTCCAATTGATCAGAATTAAAGGATTTCAAGTGGACTCAGTACAATTACAGGGCCTCTAAAGAGTCCTGTATTGTTATTTGTCATCACTACCTACCCTCATCGGGAGTGGGTCATTTGCGCGCCTGATGCCTTTCTTGCATGTGGTAGCCGTTTCTCAGGTTCCCTGTACGGAATGGAACCTGGATTCCCTGTTACTCGTGGTCACCATGGTAGGCGCAGAAACTGGCATCGAAAGTTGATATGGATGACATCCGAATGCAAAGTCGCCGCCACAGGGATGTGCGATTGGCCCGAGGTTCTCTAAAGTCAACAAAGTGCCTGCACAACTATAATGTCAACAGCTACTCTGCGGAACAGAGTTGTCTTTTTTTATATGTCCCAATATTTTGGGGGCTACCCCAATTAAAAAAAAAAAAAATATATATATATATATATATATATATATAAAACAGTGTTGGCTACATCCTCCTCCTCCACTGCTGCTTCCACCTACACGGTCACTGCCTACTCATCCTGTGGGTCACTTCGTATAAACTATGTACACATTAGCAGAGGCTTGTGAATGCCTTTTCTACATGCATCAAGAGTTGAGCATTTCTCCATGCATCAGGACTGCAAGAAATGCACCGCAGGCCGTAAATGTTTCTTTTTTTGTATGTCCCAATATTTTGTGGGCTACCACAATTAAAAAAAAACAAAAAACATAAAAAACAGTGTTGGCTACCTCATCCTCCTCCTCCACCACTGTTTCCACCTACACCGCCATGGTCACCGCCTCCTCAACCTATGGGTCACTTAGTATAAACTATGTACACAAAAGCAGAGGCTTGTGAAGGCCTTTTCTCCATGCATCAGGAGTTGAGCTCAGTTTGAACAATGAAAGAGAATACCCTGCACTCTAACACTCTCTCAAATTGATAATTCTGGTGATCCTCCTGACAGCCATGCTTTAGATTTTGATTTATGTTCTTCCAAAGCTAAAATCAAAGATTCCATCTAGTGCTATTTTATGGCTCAGCTGTATTTTTAATTTTTATGTTATTTTAAGTGATTTCCCTATCCACATTTGTTTGCAGGGCACTTGTCCTACTCTTACCCCCATTTTACTTGCTTTTGCAGCACTCTAGCCCTTTCCAGGAGTTTTTTTAGAGGCATTTTTGGGGCCAAAAGTTCGTGTCCCCATTGACTTCAATGGGGTTCGGGTTCGGGGTCAAGTTCAAGCCTGAACCCGGACTTTTTTAAAAAGTTCGGCCGAACCCGTCGGACCTGAACATCCAGGTGTCCGCTCAACTCTAATTAAGAATAAGCATACAAAGCTATAGTTTTCTCCGATGCCTTTCGTTTAAGGTGTGCCCTTCCCCCCCTCCTTGAAATCTAAATTAGAAATGTAAAAAAAAAAAAAAAGGTTTAACTCACTCAGAATTTATTTTTTTCAGTCATTATTTTTCTTTTATTTTGCCAACTAACAAAATAACGTGTACTCCATAGATATAATGAGTTATACTGGAATGAAAAAACGCTTGTGATCCTTAGTGTGTGATTAAACAATAACACTAATATGGTGAATAATTTTCTTATATGAAATAAAAAATAAATAAATGATAAATATGAAATAAATAATAAAAATGTAAATTTCAGTTCATTTTATTAGTACAACTACATACATTATATGTGACCCTAAATGACTTTGATACAACAAAGAAAATCAACTATAAAAAATTTATAAAGAAAAGGGTGTTTTCTGAAATGTTTGTTTATTTATATATTGTGCCAGATGATTCAGTAATATGTTGGAGCTACTAAAGGTGTGACTGTTTGTATATAAAGGTGTATGTTCTTACTTCAAAGTATTGTATGTGTTTCAAAGTGTTTTATTTCTTTGAAGATTACTTGGTTACACTATCTGCGGCAACTGTGTAACACAAATTCCTAAATTAATAGCTTTCTTTAGTGTTGCTGTGCATTAATGGCTGATGTATGTTTGGTAGCCCTAATTCCATTCTTTCTTATTCAGGGCTACCATAAATCCCAAAGTGACAGCCTAACTTCTTCATTCTGAACATTTGAGGCGGATGCTCCCCCACTCAGGAGTTCAGATCAACTAAAGCTCACTTTGACATGACGTGTTACCCTGCACTCCATGTGGACACATTTCAGGTGACCTGGTAACTATAGTTCATGACACCTATACTTTATTTAAGGTTTGGAGTACTACTGCTAACAGTACCCTGACCACTCAACAGACAAATACTTCTGTTCCACCTTCACAGAAGATATTTTCCTCTAATGTCAATTACCTGCTCTATTCTGGGAAAGCACAGCTTACATTTACCTGGGTCACATACTCCAAAATTTCATGTGATGAGTATATCAACATGTCATGGTGCGACTAGGTGGGAACTGAAAGCTGCATCTAATTAAGTCCACCCAACCCTGTTATGCTGTTTGCAGCCATACATAGAAGCTTTGTTTAGTTCTAGAAATATTCCCAGTATCCAACCCTTTTGAAAGATCACCACTACATAAGTCCACAACAACTGGCCAGCTTGTTTTGGATGCTCAAGATAATTTAACTTTGCCCATTTTTCCCCATTTGTAAAATGTCTGGTAGGGTCCCCTACAACAAGCTGAACACCCTATTCATCTACATATCTAGAGTACAGGATGACCCATATTTACTTCTTCTAGAGGTTTATATGGATGCTTTTCTCCTTACTCTCTTTTGTGAGGGAGCACTCCCATCCCCCCCACCCCCCCGATCCCACTCTGCTTAATAGAAACTCTTTGATTGATCTGCATTACTTATTCAAGTGTTATGATTATTGGCTATATCATTTGCCACCATAGGCTGATCTACCTGTCCATCTACAATAGACATTAAGCCATTGTATGAACCTGTGAGTTTCTCTTCTGCCTGGCTTCCCTCCATTGCCAGAGATGATTTTGCTGTCTATTTCCCCTTAACATTTCTGTCAATTCCTTCTTCGAGGCTTTATCTAGCATCTCTATATATGGTATCCAGCCTATGACATGGAACTCACCACCAAATACATCTTCAATTCTGGCAGATGGGGCTGGAACATTCAGCTCTCAACGGATCCCTCCTGCTTGATGCCACATGTCGTGCCACCATGCAAAAAAAAACATGTAGTGGTGCAGCCCCTTGTAGTATTGTTTCTCCTGCATGAGGAGAAAGAAGTCTGTTTTTTCTTTGAGGAAACTGTCATGCCAAAACTTTCATCAACTGTCATGCCACCACTCCAACCACCACTGGTTCAACCCACTTCGTTGCGCTTGCCCTCCAGTTCTCACCAGCACCCTCGCAACCACCAGCACTTCTAGAATGAGTGCTTGAGACATGAGTAATGGGATGAGAGTGACCAGAAGAAGACTCCCCAGAAAGGCACTGCAAGATCCTGGAAACCTATATAAAAGTGGCTTTGGTGCACCAGGTGCAGAACTAAATTACTAAAAAACTAGTGTACTAACTAAATTTAGATTCAGAAGACATTTAGTCTAAAGGTCATGGAAGATTATTTTATTATAAAAAATTCTAAGCATGCCAGTTAGAGCAGTGGTAACATCATTAGAACTGGAAAAACCAAGTGTGAATCTCGGCCGAATCACCTTACCTGTAAGTATCTTTGGGAAAAACACCTAATGATGTATATCTGCCTTACTAAAGTCCTCATAGATTGTAAGCTCATTTGAGCAAGGCCATCTTCACCTCTAAATATCTCCTTTCTATAAATGTAAATCGGTGCAGAATTTGTTGGTGCTATATAAAAGCTAATAATAATAAGAGGGCAGACAGGCAGGTAAATATACAGTCTTCTGTGTTGGCTTAGCATAAGATGGCAGGACCTCCTGGCAAACAACATAAGATGGGAGGACCTCCTGACAAACAACTTACACTGTTGAAGGACTAAGGAGGTAAGGGACTTATCTGGCAGTGGTATCTTTGACATTTGGCAGGAAAATTTACAATTTGGGCAGTGAGGAGAGAAGGGACCATCTGGGTTGGGTAATGTAGGGTAGTGTATAGTTCAAGACAGTGAGGAAGCATTATGGCAGCATAGCAGAAGATTTGACTAATTTGTGAGGGTGGGGAGCGTGGGGGCAACCAGGCAAATAATCTTCAGTTGGTGAGTGTGACTGGTAAAGGTGGAGATCCTGGCCAGTGATTTTACAGCTTTTGCTGGGTGACGACGGAAAGAGGTATCATTGTAGGATATGATACAGCTTTGACTGAAGTGGCAGACTGGCATAAGATTTGACAAATTTGGAGGGGCAGTTTGGCAGAGGAGATTGAGGCAGGAAAGAGGCTACCCTTCGGAATGTGTGACATAGTCCTATTTGTTTCTTTAATAAATAAAATACAAGTTTGTTGGACGTAACCCCTGGTGTGCGTGCTTTTCTCAGAAGGTATCAGAGCAAAGAGATGGAGCAGCAGGTGACAGAATAGTGAGAAGGGGTGGAATATAAATCAGGGCCAGCAAATAATTCCTTCCTGTATGTAATTGGTGCGGTTCAGGGGGTAGTCAGGTATGGTTTAGTAATGAACCCCCAAATTTCCGATGTTATCCTGATAGGTCTGTGTAAACAGTTGTAGACAATAGACATGTCCTTCAAAATGTGTCCCTGGCTATTAACAATGACATAAGTACTAAAGAATGCTAGTGCTAAAAATGCCCTTTAGAAGGATCCTGAAGGACTCCCCACAGTATTGTTAGCTTAGGCTTTAATATAACAATGGCTTCAGAGTCACGCTTCCAAATCATGTGCTCTCAGTCATCAAGCAAATTAAAATTATACTGCAAATATATTATTTATATACGCTCTCTTCCTATGTACATTTTAAAATGTTGCTATATAAATAAACCTAAATTTATTTATGTAGTGCCAGCATATTCCACAGCGTTGTACAACAGATAAGACAAACATTTAACTCTAACGAAACATGTATGTCGGATGGGAACAGTAAGTGATGAAGACTCTGCTCAAACTAGCTCACAATATAATATATTTTGGGTTTTTAAATATTTTGAAAACATAATTTGAAAAGTTTAGCCAAATATATTAATTAATTGAAAAGCATATCGAAAAATGTTAAGTTGTGGCATACTTCAGACCCCTAAAGCACTTTAGTTTTCTGGAAATCTTTATGTATGAAGAGTGTTTCTTTTTTTTATTTTACAAAAAGTGCATATTTCTATAGAAATTTACACTTTTATGAATAATTATTACTGGTATGACACTCCCCCTCCCCCCCCAGCTTTCAAGCAGACCTGTTAGTTCCTGGTTTGGTTAGCTTAGTTGCACTGAACTCAAGAGACAGCAATTGTCCAGAATACCAGCGTTGAATTGGGAGGTCTGTGATTGAACAGTGTTATAAAGTCTGGGCGGGGTTAGAAGGGGAGGGCTTGCAAAGGCAGCAGACAAGAGATCTGCAGTTTTTGCAAGCTGTGTTTAGATATAACTCCAATGGAAAAATGTTTTCATTT